GAAGACTTTTCTGGTATTCTCTGCTTTCAGTCAAGAATTATCTGACTTCAGGAATGACCTGGTTACATGCCATTCTTCTGAAGCTGGTTTGAATATCAGGTAATCCTTTGTTGATGTACTGCTACAGTCAACTCTAAAATCATCGCCAGCAAATCTTTACTTCTGCGTGATAGTAATGCTATTGTTTGATACTTTTCACATTCTCTCAGATAACCTTCCATTGTAATAGGCATGCCTTTTGATCTCTTCTAGTCCCTTGGGCAGGTACTTATCTTCCAGATTTCTTGGCATGGTTGAGTGAATGGTTCCAGTTGCACGCACTTGTTGAAATACCTCAATTGGTATTCCATCAGTTCCTGGAGTGTGGATTTTCATCAATGTCTTCAGTGCAGCTTGGACTTCTTCCTTCAATATTATATGTCCTTAGTAATATGCTATCCCAGAAATGGTTTAACATCAATCAATAATTTTTGGTATGGTTACTGTATGTATTCCTTTTATCTTATTTTGCTGCTTCCTAAGTCATTCAACGAATTTCCCATTAAATCCTTCAATATTACAACTTGAAGTTTGACTTTTTCTCTTGAGAATTTGAGGATTACTTAGTGTGTTCTCTCTGGATTTTCTTAATTTGTACATTTCATTAAAATTTTTCTGTCTTTTGAGCTACCCTTTGAAATCCTCTGTTCAGCACTTTCATTTCATCATTTCTTCCACTCACTTTAAGTACTTGGTGATCAAGAACACGTTTCAGAGTCTCTTATGACACCTTTTTTCTCTTTTCTTTCATCTAATGACCCTCGTCATGTAGGATGCCTTCGAAATCATCACACAGCTAGTCAAGTCCTCCGTGCTCAATGAATTGAATTTATTCTTGAAATGGCCTCATACTCGCGATCAAAAGTGAGCTCTCATTGTTTTCCCTTCTTTCAGCTTCAACTTCAACTTGTGGATGAGCAACTCCTGGGTCTGGTCCAGAGTTAGTCCCTGGCCTGGTGCTGGCTTCTGATAGGGAGCGACCCCATCATCTCTGTGCACTGATGTAGTTCATTTGATTCCTGGGCCCAAAGAAAACAATTGTGAGGATGCGCAGGACTGACCTTTTGTTCTACATAGGGTCACAATGAGTTAGAATAATCTTGATGGCATATAATAAAAACAACACCTTAATTGCATGTTTGACCAATTTCAAACTGCAGAAAGTGATAAAAATATTCAATTTCTTCATCTTTGGTGTTAGTGATTGATGCCAATATATAAATAATAGTTATACTAATCGGTCTTCCTTGTAGGAGCGTGAATATTATCCTATCGTTGATAATATTATACTTCAAGATAGCTCTTGACTTCAAGATAAGAATTGAAATGTTAGTTTTGCCAATGAATGCAATGCCATTCCTCTTCAATTTCTTATTCAAGGATAGCAGGCGATATGATTGTCTGAGTCAAAATGGCCAATACCAGTCCCATTTCAGCTCACTAATGCCTGGCTAGTGTAACAATCTTTATACATTATACCTTTATACATTTCATTTTTGATGGTTTCTAGTTTTCCTAGATTTATACTTCCTGCATTCGGATTCTGACTATCAGTGGATATGTACAGTTGTCTCTTCTCTATTTAAGTCATGCCACATCAGCAAATGAAAACTAGACCCCACCCACTTCATGAAAGTCAACTCCACTTGATATGTGTATGGATTGCGATAACAGTTGTATGAGCCCCTAAGAAAATGTTTTAAAAAATAAAATAAAATAAAAGCAAAATAAAGAAAAGTTGACCAAAAAAAAAAAATCTGCCATAGTCTAGAAACACTGCCCCAAACCTGTCCATAAATTTGAAATACTGGTGGCCAACCCTCCAGCATCACAGCAACCCCCACGGTACCATAGGACTACCAAGTGACAGACAAGTGGTGGATTCTAAAAGTAGAGTAACCATAATTCTATACTTAGGAATCTGCTACCAACTTCAGTATTCTTTTTTTTTTTTTTTTTTGGCTCCGGCCCGCCCCCCCAACTTCAGTATTCTTTACATGTCTTGATTCATATTTAATTCTCTGCAATTTCTTTTTTTCCATTATTTCTCTTGATTACACATTGTGATCAAGTCTCACCTTGTGCTGAATTCACATATAAGGCAGGATAGTTTTCTCTAATATATAACTAAATTTGTATTAAAAAAGCAATGGAGATACATGTATGACGTGGTCTTAACAATATATGTATTATGAAGCATTTACACAATTAGGTCTGCAAGCATTTCTTTAATGATCTCGTAGAGCTGTCTAGCTTTTAAGTCACTGGCTTTGAACACTTTAGATGGCCATTACAGGAAGCTAGAAAGCACTTCAGACTCAGAACATACTGGTTATAATGGAAATCCTATTAATAATTAGGCACGTAAACCACCATCTCTATTTAATTTTTTTTTGCATGAGCTAAACAGAATGTTATTATAGAATCAATATATCTTATCCTGCCTCTGTCATAGATTCTCTTTTTAGAATTGGCATTTAATCAAAACACATAGGTAGTCTAATAAAAATAAGTATATATTCATAAATACATGTTTAAAAAATACTTTTGATGTTTCCTTTTGGGGTAGCATAATATGCTCCTAGATTCCTAGCATTGCTGGACAGGAGACAAATGTTTATTATAAACAAGTGGACATTGATTTCCTGGTTGAATAAAAGAATGAAACAATGAATGAGCAAAAAGTGGTTTTTAATCTTCATATCATTCTGATCCTTAGATTCCCCAGTTTTAACCTTAAAAAACTCCCCAAGATTCTGATTCTTTAGCTGAATCTATATATATATTTCATTGTTTTGTTTGGTAGTTGCCATCAAATTGGCCATAAAATCATGGCTTTCCGATGCAGAGCAGCTCGCTGGCTGACTTTCAGATGCAGCTCATTAGGTCTTTCTTCCTAGTTCATCGTCGTCTGGAAACCTCACTGTTCGGCATCACAGCATCACACAGGCCCCACGGACGGATGGGTGGCGGCTGTGCGGAAATTATATAGGCCGAGAATTGAACCCGTCTCTGCTGGGAAGGTAAGAAATGTACCATGAACCAAAGTTGACTCAATTCTTCATTATCATGACCTTGAATAATGACGATGTTTCCATTGGTAGGGGGTAGTATAATGAGAAACATGCAAAAGATGCTTAATCCCTGTCTTTTAATTTGTGATGGCGTCTATATTACTACGCTTTTTGCTGGAAATTGAAATCAGTATTAGCCACAAGTAAAAAGGTTTAAAAGAGAAAAATATATATTTTAAGAAACTGATTCTTTTCAAGCACTCACGTAGGCCAGTTCCCAATATACTAGAAAACAAAGGCACATAAAAGATGAGAAGCTGGGAGATAAACTAGAGGAGAATTGTATCAAATGTGGAACAGAACACAAAATCATTAAAAACAAACCCGATCTAGTGCTTAAATAGAAAGTGGTGGGATCAGCACAACTCTCGTACTTAGTCACCCTTCTGACTTGGAAATTAACTTGCCCCCCTGGCTCAGTTTCCCCCCACATGTCTACAAGGAGAATAATAACAATCATAAGGCAATTCAGCACACTTTAGATTATTGAAATGGGAAGGGCATCCTTTATCTAGGGACTAACTTCAGAAGGGTTACAGAAGAAGGATGCACAGAAACGGGAAAAACAGAGAGGAAATAGGGTAAGTGATGTTTCACTGCGGGGAATGATTCAGAGGCTCGAGACAAAATGTGTGTGGATTTCAGAGAGCTTGCTGAATTTTATCTATCCATGCGGGCCAAGAGTAATTCTCTTAAGAAAATTTGGGGTGGCATCATTCATATCACAGTTATGAGAAATCACCCTTCTTTAATTATAGCTACGAGAATATATATAGGTAAGGTCTAATTGGATTGTAAATTTATAATGAGTGGGATTCATTTCAGAAGGCCACTTCCTGTTCTGTGCATGAGCGCGTGGTATGGAAGAGGGGGCTGGAAACACATTCTTAAAACATCAGAAAATTCTCCCAATGTACATAGGATTTGAAGGAGGAAGAGCTGTGCTTCTTTGGGAGGACGATGGGGCTTCCTGCGCCTTCAAAGATGTATAGCCTCAGAAGCTCAAAGGGACAGCTCTAGCCATCTGATAGGGTCACAGTGAATTAGAACTGACTCAGTGGGAATACGAGTGAGAGAAAGTCATTGTTCTGGCTCAAGATGAAAAGTCTTAAGTAGATTTTGTTCTTTAACCCCAAAACACTAACGTGTTCATATGAGAATTTTACTAGGAACTTTGGAGTTTGAAAATCGTCACTGGGCCAAAGCTTTGCTTAAGGTCAAACTCTAGAGATAAAGGCTGCCCAGCAAGTTTGCTCCATTAAAAAATAGCAAATAATCTGTTATGTGTGAACCTTAAAATATACTGAAACCCAAATCAAACTTACTGCCATCGATCCAATGCTGAATCATAGCGACCCTTATAGGACATGACAAGAACTGCCCGGAGAGTCTCCGAAATTGTAACTCTTTAACAGAGGAAGCCTTGTCTTTCTCCCACGGGGCAGTTGGTGGTTTTGAACTGCTGACCTTTTAGATCGTAATCCAATGCTTAGCCACTATGCCTCCAGGACTCCTGAAATACAAAGACCTTGAAATAGACTAAAAATTCTCCCACCCAAGCCCCAAAACATGAGACTTCTGCAGATGAACATATATATTATGCCCCTTCACTTTCAGGGAGGGGGTGGTTTACATAAAGTACACTTTATGAGTATGAATGCCTTTTAAGATTTGTTATTTCTATTTGAAAGCAAAACCTTTTCCTGGATCAATTTCAAATTACAGTGACCATGTAAGCTAAAGTAGAACCACCCCACATGGTTTCCAAAGCTATCATGACAAACTCAGACTGCCACACATTTCTCCTTCAGAGGGGCTGATGGGCTTCGACCTCTGACCTCTGAGTTAGGCGCTTAACCACGAAAACAAATAAACATCATTTAAAAGATGCAAGGCTTCAAACTGATCCTATCTGCAGGAGCAGTTCTTTCTGCGGAAAAGCGTGCCTCAGATACACACGTTCAAGCTGTTCAGAACGAGACAACAAGGCACCAGTCAGAACTCGGAAGCGCATTGATGAACACTGGCCACTCGCAGACTTACGCACCCTCGTCATCCAAACCAGTTAACCTGTGAGACTAGTTAGTAGCTGTTGCATATCACTACTAGCAACACCTAATGACCTACCTATCTGTCGCTAAGGTTAAAATCAGCTTATTTTAAGTGTTGAGGAATGTGAGAAGGACAAACATACTTTAGCCAGACTATGCAAACTATCGAAACAGGAGACTTTAATGTTTGATATTTGAAAGAATCCCCCTGCAGCAGGCCGACACTTTCATCATTTGTGGCTAGGGATGTGGGGGTACAGAGTGAAAAAAACAGGGAAGAAGTTTACACTTTGGAAAATTTGAGAACCTGCCTAAAATATGCTAGCACGGTGATGTACACAACATGCATGGTCCCTTTGGTCACGGAGCTTGCCATGGGGCAGCAGAAAGAGATTACCTGTGTTCCCCTACAGTGACGATTGTCACAGGAAAAATGAGATGGTGAACTAGAGGACACAGGCATTACACATGGAGTGGGCGCAGGGACAGGCCTATGTTAGCTAGGAGAGGCAGCCTATAGACCTTGTTAAAGAGCATCCATTTTAATCTAAGCACAGTGTGAAACCATTGAAAGACTTTAGCAGAGGGAGTATTTGATGTCTGTTTATTTAAAAAGATCATAACCAGAGGAGGTTTGGGTCTTCTCACCAGACTTGGCTGTAAAAACCCCAGGTCACATCAAAGACTGTTGGCATCCTCAAGTACTGAAAATATCATGGCCTTCCCAAATCTGTATGTAAATAAATGTTTACCACATCATAGTCAAGACATTCAACGAACTCCTGGTTTTTCCAGAGATTTTTAGCTCTGCAGATCTATTTTTGCCCTCCTGCCTTAAAATCTGCCCTAATTATAGCAGTGAATTTTTTAAAGTCTCTAAAATAACTATAGAAAATGGAAACGTTAAGCATACTAATCAAGAAGAAATCTTGAAAGAACAATTCTCAAAATAGTATTGATATAAAAAGATAGATTATTAGATTTTAAATAACATAATATTGAATGGATAAATTGGAATCTTCAGGGAATAATTAGGACTCAGAATCAAGGACAAAGATTTTTGTTTGACAAATGAACAGTGGGCCCCTACTCAAGAACACTTTGTTCTGACAATTCGGCAGTCTGAGATGCTCACCTTCCTGGCATGATCGCAGAAGACAACGGGTGCACAAGCAAATGTGGTGAAGAAAGCTGATGGTGCCTAGTTATCAAAAGATATAGCACCTGAGAATTAAAGACAACATCTCTCTTGCCGCTAAGATTGGTTATATTTAAAAATGGTGTCATTTTCATCTCACTGGATAGAGCATAGAACGTAATAGTTCTTTGTTCCCATGACATCATGACATCGCCTTATCCTTTCGCCCTGTAGTTATGCACTACAAGAGAACCTTGAAAATAAACGTGTGTGTTGTTCTCAGGTGCCTTTGTGTCAGTTCCAACCATAGCGACCCAATGCACAACAGAACACACCTTTGCTCTGGCCTGTGCCATCCTCATACGTGTCCTGTGCTTGAACCCATTGTGGCATCCACTGTGCCAGTCTGTCTCATAGAAAGCCTTCTTTTTCATTTCCTCCCCCAGCTGCCTCCTACTTTACCGACCATGATGTTCTTCTCTGATAACATGTCCAAAGTATGTAACACAGAGTCTTGCCATCCTTGCATCCAAGGAGCACTCTGGCCTTAAGTCTTCCAAGACAGACTTGTTTGTCCTTTTGGCAGGCCATGGTACTTTTGAATATTCTTTGGCAACACCATTCAAACTCATCTATTCTTCTTTTGGCTTCTTTATTCAGTGTCCAACTTTCACATGCCTAGGAGATGATTGAAAATACATGCCTGGGTGAAGTGCACCCTAGTCTTCAGAGTAACCGCCTTGCTTGTCAGTGCTCTACGGGGTCTTGTGCCGGGAATCCATGCGACGAGGGGAGGCGCCACTCAGAAAAGGACAACAAGAATGCCTGCTCAACTTGAAGATTGTGATGAAGGTCGCAGAATTATACATGTAAAAATTGTTGAATTGTATTTTTTTTAACTTTTTAAGAGTTATTTTTTAACTTTTTATTGTGAATTAAGTAAAGGTTTACAAAGCAGATCGTTCGTTTTATATGCAACAATTCATAAACGCATTTTGTGTCAACACATCAATTGCCATCCCCTCAGCAGGGGTTGTGCTGTCTATTTTTGCAACAAAAACAGGGAGGAAGTTAGAAAACTAGGGCGGGGAGAAAACCCTTTGTAGGGACAGAGGTTGTTTTGCCACGGGCAGAGAACAAGTGCAGGAACTCAGTGGGGCTCTGTGGCCTCGCTGCAAATAATCTCATGGGAAAGCCCAGAAGTTTCTTGACCAGGCTTCCATTTGTTTGGTAAACATCAGAGTGTCCATACACATTAAGTTCAGTGTCCTAACCTTAAAAGACTCTTAGATCTTCCAATGGAGAGAGATTAGATTTATTCTCTTTGGCACCAAAAAGTAAGTGCGAGGGGCTGGAAAGCCTAATGGAAACACACCTCTACTTAATACAGAGGCACTGGCAAACGTTTAAAACCGAGCCAGGGGCCCGTTTCAGAGCGGGGGACAGTTGTTCCCAGGAGTTCCCAAGCAGAGGTGGAGGACACAGCCCCTGGGGCCTGGGTGCCTCTGGCTCAGCGCCCGGGGCTCTCGCGGCTCCTGCGGCCCCCAGGGAACGCCCCGGGGCGGA